AGTATCAACCTAAAAGGCTGCATCCCGTTTTCAGTTTAGTGGAAATGTTTATTATCAATGGAAAATATAATTATTTCCACTTATATGAGTTATTATGAGTCACTCCCCAAACTGAATTGGGATTTGAAGTCATTTGAGTTACTGATTCAGTGATCCTTAGGCGGAATCCCAAACCAGCTCCTAAACACCAACCCTAAGCACTACTCCTCTGTTTGTGCATTCCCTCCACTGATCTATATTCACTAGATTACTGATAGGCTGTTGGTAGTACCGGGTGCCATGAAGTCTCCAGCTGCCATATTGGTACTCCCTAGTTAGACAGGTCAGAAAGTAAACAATACGCACGCTACAGCATCGAATAAATCGAATAACGATGAAGTTCTCATTTTCAGGGGGGCTTAAAACTTCTAAAATAAAGATAAAGTCATCACTTTTACACACACTTGCTGCATTCCATGAAGTCTATAAATCATGTAACATATTACACAAATCCATCACAACAAAATGAGTTTGTTAAGGGAGCATAATAATTATGTAGTCCGATATTAAGAATATTAAAAACACATTCTATCTGATGAAGTCCTAAAAGTGCTAAATTGATGATGACCATGTAATAGCCTATATATGTATTTAAAATATTGTTACGGTAATTACATTACAGGCATTTTCATGGCGGGACTCATTGAGAGTGGGGAGTACCAAGATGGCGGCAGGTGACTTCAGTTTTTTCGGCCGTTTCAGCAACCCAATGAAGAAATAGAGACCAGTAGTTCCCACAGAGGGTCCGGCTCATTAAGTGCAGTCCCAAACCACATGGTGGGTAGGGCGAGTGGACCTTAAACAACGAGTCTGCATCTGGAATTTGGCAGCAGGTGTAACAGCAGCCTGTTGATGGAGGAAACACCTTCAGCCAAATGTAAATTCCTCTGGTTTGCTGCATTTTCGTCACACTGACAGAAAATCGCAAGTTAGTTTGTGAAAAAAAACCATAATTAATTCCAAAAGGGAAGGTCTTATTTGAAATAGTTTTATTTGACCATATACATTAGTTTTACGAAAGGGCAAAATTTTTGATTTTATGTCACACTGTGCTACAGAGCTAAAGCCACGCACATGGGGCGTCACTATGTTGCCATAGCAACTACTGCTTTCCTTTTCCATTGTAGGGAAGACGCTGTCCCATTCTCGTGTATACCACCCCACCTATAATCAAGGTGCCTTCCACATCTGCGAGTAAAACTTAATTGGGAGTGACACTTGATAGTTAGGGTTAGTGGTTAGGGAGCGGTTTGGGATTCGGCCTATGTTCAGCTGGTTTGCTGCATCGTCATCACTAACACTAACAGAAGATAACAGGAAAAAATAAAAACGGCATCATTAATCCCTAAATGGAAGGTCCACTTTGAAATAGTTTTATTCTGCTGGAAAGATTCATTTTTAAGAAAAATGCAAATGTTTGATTTCATATGGAGCGTCACTGTGTTGCCATAGGAACAACGTCTTTCCATTGGAGGGAAGAGGCAGTCCCATTCACGTTTATACACCCCACGTACAATCCAGGCGCCTTCCAACTCTGTGAGTGTGACTTTATTTCGAGGGACACTTGATAGATAAGGGCTAGTTGTTGGTTTGGGATTCAGCCTTAGTCTAACAAAAGTTCAACCTAATGCTTGTCCCCACTGGTCCCTATGCTTAAAATCCCAGATGTCAACTTAAACATATTCAAATAAATATTAAAATGGAGTATATGAAATATAAGGAAGAACAAAAAAATATATTTTTAGCCTAAAGGAGATTAAAAAATATAGTTTAAAAGGTACATGCTTCTGTGATGTTTTCAATGCTTCTGGTAAAAAATAAATAATTGAGAATAAGAAATTTTAATTAATAGCACTGTATCAGCACTTTGGAGTCCCCTCACTTTAAAAAGGTGCTATATAAGTGCAGGCCATTTATCATTTTTTAATAAGGCACTAAAAGGGGCATAATTCAGGTGGAATTAGTGAGGACACTGCAGCAGAAAACAGTCCAGGTGGTTAGTAGACAGTCAAGCTGGCTACACATTTTTTATTCACCACTTTGGGAAACAAACATCACTTTAATAGTCAGTAGTTTGTTTCCCACCGTGGGGAGATTAGGGAGCTCAGGCAGCAAATATCAGCTCAGCTGAGTGAAGCGGTGAAAAGCCATGGGAGCGGATGACTGAGTGAATAAGATGCTGTGATGGAAATAAGTTGGAGATTTATTTTTCTGACTTGAGTATAACAACTTTTTTTTCTTAGTTGGCTAGAAATGACTAGAAATACAATAAAGAGCAAGGTGAAATAGTTAAAAGAGACAGTGGGTATGGATTCAAAGTTTTTTTTCATTAACAATACAAGGTTATTGAAAAAAAGATGAATTAATGTGCAGTTTTGTTATTTTTACACATCTTTAACAATGACAGAATGTACGCAGTGGATGATAACCTAAATAATGTACAATTTTGCTGCAAATGAAGCTCTAATACCATATCTTCTATGATTAATATGTTTGCACAGCAGAATTCTGCAGAATTGTTATACAACACATTAACCATGCAGAGGGAAGCAACCAGTGATACGCTTAGGGACAAAAAGGACCAGTGAGATCCCAGTTGACACGGTGGTACAGTAAGGGCGGTCAGGGCTGAGGAATGAGTGAAAAGACGCTGAAGGAGTGAAAACAAAGGGTCACTGGGAGGGACTGCAGTCTCTGAAATACCTCCTGGGCTCTCTTCCTCCATCTCATTCTCAACACTGTCTTCTGCCTGCATTAATTTCAGTACCGGTTTCTCCTGCATATCTGGAAACAGGGGGTTGTTTTGCGTGTTTTAAACAACAGGACAGCAAAGAGTAAAATCTGTGGAGAACTATAACAGGAGTTGGAGGATTTGCTGCACTGTGAAAATACAGTTTAAAAGAAAATCCATTGTTTATAAAAGATTCAGATGTGCTTTGCTTTTTTTAAAATGAGTAGTTTATGAAAATGAATGCTCAGTAAATATTTACAAAGTTCTTAATTTCAGGTTGTGAAAATTACAAAAAAAGATTCAGTTGTACATGATGCGGCTATCTCCATGTTTGGACTAATTAAAAGGAAGTTGAAACACATAAAGTACATTATGCTTTTTGTTTTATAGAAAGATTAATTGATATGGATAGAAATTTGGGATACCCACTGGTTTATCCTGAAAAAGGAAGAGTGTCACTTTCCATGGCGATGCAAACTTATGAACGGAGGGATCCCTGAATGTATGGAGTCTTTTCTTAAAGTTTTTCTTATAGTTTCCTTCATATTTTTATTGTGATCTTGAAGTTTTGAGGTTATCTTTTCTGTTTGGGGTTTTTCCATATTAGCTTTTTTTCCTTTTACTTCAGGAATGTTGTGCTTTGGTCTTGTCTTAGTCTGTTATTTAGTTTTGCTATTTAGGTCTTGCAGTATTTGTTAATTTTTTACCCCATATTAGTTTAAGTGTTTATTCATGCTCTAGTTTATTCTTTAGTCATCCTTCTCTAATTGATCCTGGTTTGGTTTATGTAATTTCAGGTTTCATTTAGTAGATTGTTTATAGCAGTTTTACTGTGGTTCACTGTGGTTATGGATTCAGGGTTTTTTCTGTGTAATTAGTTTAATGGTGTTCGGCTGCTGTCTTTTGTGCTGCTTTTATCAGACTTTATATTGCTCATGTCTAAAACAACCACTTGAATAATCTTATATAATAATTAATCTTATATTTTAGATTAAGTTTATATTATATTAAAATGACTAACTCATGGTTCTGCCTCTGTCTGCCAGTCTGCATATGGGTCCATCCAAGCTGTTTCTAACAGTGATGGATAATGAAGGTTGGTGCAAGTCTGATTTTAATGTAAAAATGTCTGTTTGTTTGTTTTTATTTCATTTTTGTAAAGTCAAGTTTTAGTGAGGTTTAAAAAAATGATGCAGTTTAAAAAGTGTGGATTTGCAACTTTGGAAGGATTTGACTGCACAAGTTAATCACTTTGTGTTCTTCCGCATGATTCTGCAAAGCAAAATCAGAAATGTCAGCATTTTTCCCAACACACTTTTACAAGATCAAATGTTTAATCATTTATGATAATCACTGAGAGAAACTCCCCCACTCTGTTGTTGCTCTAAATGTCAAAGACTAAAACTCAAAATAGAATCTGATTTCCCATCTTAAAACCCTGTAGCTTTGTTCTGGATGATCAGGGAGATGCGAGTGTGGGGAAATGAGGCGACAAGTTACATGTCACCAGCCTGGAAGAACAAAGACGAGATGATCAAAGCTTCTCCTCTGCCAAACAAGCCTGACTGCAGCTCAGATTAGAGAAACTCTGCTTAAAGTGCAGCTTGACTTGAAGGACGACCTGCAGATCGTGTCAGACGGCTAAAAGTCCCTTCTCTTTATGAAATAAGCTTTACCAACTGTAAGCTTTAAAACATTTCAAAGACATTCCGCATTCTCCTTTTTATGCATTTAAAAAATATACTATACTGCTCAAATAATTTGATGTCATTAGGTGTAGGTTTTTGTTTTTTGACTGCAAAATTTTACAAATAGCAATTTTAACATAAAAGAAAAACAAACAGTTTACCACAGGCTGATACACCTGAGGAAATCTAGGATCACAGTGAAAGTAAAACCCTCTTTTACTCATGCATGCAGCAAGAAAAACATAAATCTGTTAAGTTTGTCTTCAAATTAAAAAAAACAATATGAAGCAGACAGAGGATATTTTTGCTCAATCAGTCATTATAGAGACATCTTTGGTGTTCTTAGTGATTCAGTCTTCCTTAGGGGTAAATAAATTTGGCAGTCATCCACAAAAACTGGATATAAAGCGAGAATGTAAAATACTAATTGTATAGGTGCAAAGACCTATACTATTAACAAGTTAAGCATAAAAACATCTTCTTAACCTTTAGTTAAGCCCAAAGATTATTAATAATCCTGACAGTTTAAGGATTAAAAAGGTTTTTATCCAATCAAGGAATTTTTTTGTGATTGCAATGATGGAAAAAAAAAAAACTGTTCAACAATTATACATGTCCCTATGATTATAGGTGACATGATCATTTTATCTGTTTATATTTCAATAATGATGATTAATCTTTGGTGATGAATTCAAAGTCTTCAAACTCAATATCTCCTCCTTACCATCACCATGATTTTTAGCTCCTTCACAGATTAAATGAAGTCAGGATGACGACTTCCAGTCAGACTAAAAATGTTGGTTAATTTTAGAGAGTTCTCTAATCACACGTCTGGCTGTGTTATGGATAACTTTGGGTTTACCTTAATCATTTTACCAAAAAAGACTTTGGTTTGCTTGAAACCCCTTTTTAAACTGGATCCTTTGGTGTTTTGTCATTACAAGTTAAGCATGAAAAACCCCTATTTAAACTGGATCTTTTGGTGTTTTGTCACTACAAGTTAAGCATACTAACATCTTTTTAACCTTCAGTTAAGTCCAAAGATTATTAATAATCCTGACAGAGGGAAACATAGATAAAAAAATTCCCTTTTCTAATATTTAAATTTTTTAAAGCCAAAAGTTTTTTTGAGGAATAAAAGCAGAAAACATGTCATACAGGAAATGATTCACTGCAGAATGAAGCATCACTCAGACACCATCTCAGACATTCAGTTATTTTTTTAAATCTTCTTGAAAGATGGAATTTATTCAGTCATTATATGTCTCCTTTAGTTAAACAGTTTTCTTCTTTCTATTTTTTAAATAAGCTTTATACAGTGTGTAGACATGATCTGGTAAAAAAAAAAAAAAATGAAGCTTGTTATGGAAAACTAAAGAAACTGTTTCTGATTTAATTGTATGCAAACCTTTGCAGCTCCAGTTGTATAGAATATTTGGATGCTTGAAGTTGTGAAGTATTACTTAGATACATGATGAGGACTCACCTTTTCCCTGGCAAAAGTCCAGCTGTAGGATGGTCTGCATCAAAGAGTCTGTATTCAAGGTGAGGTCAAAGTCAGGGCCAACCTTGGGCTCCAGGGCCCCCTTCACCCACTGGTCCTGAGACGATGCCACTCGCTTGATCAGGGCATCTGAGATCTACACAGACAACAAAAATGAGGACTGCAGATATTTCTCTATTTTAGATAAAGACCTAGTTGATGGATCATTTGAGAGAAACTCTCAGTTGTGTAAAGCTCTGGCAGCATACATAGCAGTCTCTTTGGGATGCCTTCCTGTGGCCTGGCTTTATTGCTTGCTGCCTTCATACGCTCTTCAAACATTGCAGGATTCAAATTGGACCCCACTGTTTGATCGTCAGAGCTCTACTGCTGCAGGAAATAAAAGCTAAATGAAAGCATCACATTAAAATGCACTTCCCTGCGATTGGGATTTGGAAATTTACCCTTTAGCTATAAAAGGGAATAATTTTGTTTAGTCATATTTTCCGCCGGATTAGTCCAAACTGCAGCGAGCAGAGCCTCCCTGTAGAGATTAGAAGCTCTGATGATAAAGAAGGACCTAATCAATAGATTATAAAATATTCAGGAGAAATGGAACGGACGGGATGTTTCTGTGGGCGTCTGTTCCTCTCAGCATCTTTGATTTTATCTCCCTCTTAGTCGACTCCTCCTCTGCTGGTTTCTTTGAGCAAAAATCATTCAAAACTAAAAGCAGCAAATTTCTAGTATCCGCCTTATATTTCACTAAAGCGCATTTTGAGTTTATTCTGTTAGAGTGAAAAACCAACTTTTTGTACATTTTCTTTCTTTTGTATCTTAGATTCTAACCTTTATGATCAAAGAAGTCCTGATTTTAAGCTAATAAGCTTTTATGTTGAAAAGAGGGAATATTTCTGCTAATTATTTAACATCTCCTAAGTGAGATGTGTAAAGTCTAAACCAGTTTAAGCGGAGGAAAAGTATTCTTAAACATAAAGTTCTTAAGGTCACAAATGTTTCCTCATGTTTAGCCTAAAGAGGTTTTTTGTTTTTTTTAATTGCCCACATTTTAGATATACTGTGGTTCTACTTAACCAGCAGAAATCTAAGCGTGTGAAGAAAACTTAAATTAAATGATTTGCAGTAACTTTCAGAGCTCAGACGTGTCTTTTTACAGGTTAAGTTAATACCTGAATACTCTGAAACTTTGAGCATTTTTTGTCAACACTATTTTTATGTTTAACTGACAGTTTTGGTAAGAAAATCATGAATACATTAATATTCCCCCTTAGTATTTTGCTTGTTTCAGTTGCTCATAATAACTAAATCTAGTTAAATTTGCCTTTTCTATGATTTTTCATTTGTTTCACCACAAGGCACTTCCAAATGCTTAGAAGTCACACAACAAGGCTCATTTAAAGTCTGGAAAAGTGTGGAAAAATGACACTACGGTAAGTCTGATAAACTCAATTCTCTTTATAGGAAATATAAAGGCAGACCACTAAAAATACATTTGCCATAAATGTATACTTTTGATATGGATTTAGAAAAAAAAGTTTGTGGTATTTGTTCTAAAATAAGATGGAGAAACAAACAGAGACACACACCATGCATCAATAGGTGCATTATTGTTACCTGCAGGAACCCGCTGGGGTCGTTGTCCTTGAGGACTTCCAGACAGTATTCCATCATGCCGGTGGTCTGCCGCAGCTTCATGGTGCAGTGGGTGATCTGGTCACGCACAACCTGAAAATGTTGCACATCAAATTAATTAGAAATGGAAAATATTTGGGTTGAAAAGCGACAAGTGCTTTTTGCCAATATTGTTAAGTCTCAAAAAAAAAAAAAAGCTTAAACTGTGGTCCCATAAAATTAAGCAGTAATTGAGTTTAATACAGTCTTATTAAAGTGCAAAATAGTAATAACACATTAAGGAAACAATTTCAAGATTTAAAAAATACAAAACCAACAGTTTTTATAGATGGTGGATTTATAAGCCTACCAACTATTATAGTCCAAACCTTTATTTTTACTATGTCACACCTTTAGTGTCACTTTCCATTAAATGCATCCCGATAAGCAGTGATATACGTTTATAATGAACCTGAGTAGAATGAGACACACACCCTGTTTCATTTCTCAAGTTTTCTGTGTTTGTGAGTTTGTAGAGTTCACTGTTTGTTTGTTTTTTTTTTGTTTTTTTGCTCATTATGTTCAGTTCAGTTCTGATGTTTTCTGAGCACAGAATTGTTTATGTACGGCAAGTCGCCTCAGTATTTCCTGCAGAACTATTAAGCTACAGATGGATACAGGATTTCAGGTTTGGTGTCCTGTTAGTAAATAAAAGCTTACTTTGTTATAAAGATGTGGGGATCAGATGTGTCATGTCAGAGGCTGACCTGTGAAAATGGTTTTAAATTCCATAAAAGTCTTCACCGGCAGGGTTTTTTTCTACACTACATACACATTTAGATTCCATCACGACACAAATACACAGAAAGCTGTTGTATAACTGTAGAAAAAGAGTCTAAAAAGTCTCAATGTACATCAGGTTTGGAGCTAAAGATCAGACAGAAAACATCTTCTGACTCTTCGATAATTAAACCAGTGAGTGCCTGGATGAATCCCAGTTAATTAGATGGAGTCTTTGCGATTAGTCGCCTCATTTGTTTGAGGATTAACGATATCCAAGTTAATTATTCACCTGTCATCCGCAGTCTGGACTGAAATATGAAGAGCGTGACGAGCTGAAATAAACACTTCATACACTCTTTATGCAGTGTTTTCCTTTGATAATTTGTTCGTATACATTTGATATATATTCTTTGTTATATTATTTATTACCGTCAATAAAAAAAGAAACCCTGATATTTATTTGAAATTGTTAAATGTTTTATTTTTTAACTTTTCATATTTTTTTGATTATTCGGATTTTACACAACATGATTACTTAAAGCAAGCATTAGTTATATTTCTGTTAGTTAGTTGTGCTATAAGACCCTAGTTATAGATCTGCTTTAAATAGAAAAAGTGTGTATTTGGATTGTACCATTTCTGTTCAGTTAGTCAAGTTGGAAATTAGTTTTTTAGTTGGTTTGATCTGTTTTAATTATTACTTCCATGCCTGAGAGTGTTTTTCATAGCTTGTTACCTTTAAGCAGTGTTTTTCTTTTGCCTTTAAATGTTTATTTGACACTTTGTTTCCCCACTTTTGGAGCTGTAGTGGTCTGATCATTTCCTGTGTTTATGCTTTAGTTAAAGTCTGTTATGTCATGCTGTTGGTATTGATGACTGGCTTAATTACTCATTTTTTCACCTGCCGAGCTCCGCCTGTTTTCTCATTACCGTTAGTCTGATCCACCTGCTCCTGCCTTTATTTTACCTGCCTACCACTAGTCATCATGCTAGATTAATCAAGCCAGTGGGGAGAGTTTTTCCAGTGTTAATCTTATAGTTTCTGATGACTTGTTCTGCATCTCAACCAGTGAGCCCTCCTGTTCGTGTCTAATCTGTTTTAACCTGCCTGCTTCCAGTCATCAGCTCCAGATTATTCTCGAGCCAGATGTGAGAGTGATTCAGCGTTACCTTAGTGTTTCTGATAGCTAATCCTGGCCTGTTCTGCTTCTCAACCACTGAGCCTACCTGTTCCCATCTGATCTGTTTGACCTGTTTTTGGACTCCTGCTCAATTCTTCCTGTTTAATGAACTTTGAGTTGTTCCAGTGTATTCTCATTATGAGTTCGTATGAAATCGTACGAAAAGTTATGCACCGTAATTTCGTACGTCGTATGCGCATGCATCTGATGCACCATTCACGAACATAGAATATAAATTACAATTAGCCCTAACCCTGACCCTAAGATATAAAACAGCAAGCAACATAGTTAGAGACATGAAGAAGTGATTATTGCACTGTTTTTCTCAGTTTTACGTCCGTCCTGCTTTTTTTCTTCTGTCTGCCAGCGCATCCGCACTGATGTGGTTTTTTGAGGAAAAACGTCCAAAACGTACGAAATAGTGTGCATAACTTTTCGTACGATTTCATACGAAATAATAATGAAAACATGTTGGTTGTTCCTGTCAATGACCTGGATTTCCCTTTGGAACCTCTTCTGACTTCTGATCTCCTGGTTCTGAATCCTAAGCACGTCCTCAACACCGGCTTTGGCTTCGCCATGTGCATTATCCTGCCTTCCTTTATCTCCTGCTTGTTGTACGTCCAAGGTTGTAGCATCTGGAACACTCTGGGCGGCAACCGCCGCATCTTGTCGTCAATCGACCGGCTGGAATCAACCACGGCGTCAACTAAAAAACCACAGTTTCCTGCCTTAGACATCCTTGCTGTAACTGCAGATCGGCAGTTTTTAAAATAAACGCTTTTGACTAGTGGGTCCTCCATTCTGATCTGTGACATGTTAAACTGGTCTATTGTAAAGAACAAGGAATATACTTTAGTCTATGCTACAAAAAAAACCTGCCTCCAACCCAGTCTCCAATCTTTTGCAGCTTCTCCCAGGGTTTCCTTAATCTGCTCCTCTGCTTCTGCATCCCCCCTTCCTCACATGATGCAGCTAAAACAGTTTTCCATCGGCATATTTTGGTGATGGACATTCTGATGATGAATGGAACAGAGCTCTATGAGACGCTCAAACTTTGACATTTTGTTAAAGAACCGCGTCCTACCATAAACATCTGAAGAACTTTATTGCTGAGCTGTCTGCTGTGCAAGATGCTTTTACTCACTAATGTTATTTAATATACCTTTGAGGCTTTAATAGAACAGCACATTTGTCCTCATTTTAAAATTACACTCAAGTGGATTCTATTTATTAATTATGTGACTTTGATTGCAACTGATATTGTGCTTTATCTGGACCAATCAAATTAAAGTGCTCAAAATCTGAGTGGATGTCATTCTTACAGCATATTTCCTATTTCACTCCCAAACCATAGTTATGCGCATTTCTATTAGTTTTTCCACATTCTTTCACCATATGATTCACTGAAATGTATGGCGTTAACATAGAATATTAAAAAGTTCCATTAAATATATATATTCTTAACATTAATGTTATAATTCATGGTTGATATAACTCCTGGTGGATGCTACCAGTTAAAGAAATGTTTTTTTCTTTCTTTATAATAAGTGAATCTGCAAATAAGCAATATGTTTGGGTTAAACATGCATTTAAAAATGTGTTATTAGATTTTGACTACTACATAACAGATTATAAAATTTAAAAAATAACAATTGAATTTTTGTTTAGGACACATTTACCCATTTTACCCATTTTAAGTCTTCACTGAGTGACCTTATCTACTGTCTGATTCAGTTGAGGGTTGCTCTATTCTGCTGACACTCATCATCTGCTAGCAACATGCTCATTCAATCTGGGTTCAGGAGCTTTGCCTATCATGCTACAGCGGCAAACAAAATGATTTTCAGAGTGAAACGTTAATAGAAGTCATAAAAAAATAGCGCTGCTTCTCTTTTAAATCACTATGAACCACATTCAGCTCCAGCGTTCAGTTGATGCTTTATGTAAATCAATGTGTTCTGTACTCTCCTCATTTAAAACCAATTTAACACAGCTGTGAGGCAAGACTACATTACTTTAGACATGAGATGAAGTCAAAAGGAAACGGCATTAACTCTTCATTAAATGGTTGTGAGCTGCATTTTGTGATACAAATGTTTATGCTGGAGCTACTATTCCTGTTTGTATTGCATGTCTGGTGTTTTTACAGGATTGCTGAAATGAAGAGAGAGCTGACTGGATGAATAGAAAAACAGAAGGATAGAGATATGGACAATCTGTGGAAGTTAAATTGAGTATAATATTTTATTCATTTAGTGCCCATTTATATTGCTTAGCAGCAAACAGTATATCTTCAAAAGAAAGATTTTAGAGCTTGAAAAATGGACATTTTTTGTTTTGATTCCCCAAACTGGCATCGTTCTGACTCTCATCTGCAACAGGTAACATACAGACGGCTTATATATACTCCACATATTCAAAGCAAATTTCTCCTTAAAACTAATGTAAGTATAATGTACAGAATTACATATTTAAATTTTATGCAGAAAACTGGTAGGTTTGAACTCAAAGAGGATATTGCAGGTTAGAGCCTCACTTTTATCAGTGTTTAGAATAATTAACTAAACTTTGACTATAAAAACATTAGTCTGATGGCTTTTAATCATCTTCAAAATCACATTCATGTGGTAACATGATGGATTACCACTAAAGCATGAGGGAGCAACACTGAACGATAACTGTGTGAATACTGAGTTGAAATTAGTTTGAACGTTATTGTCTGTTAAAAAACCACCTAATTGCATTACTTTACTTATCATTAAAATCTCATCCTGTTCCAACAAACCGGATTATATGAGTTAGTTATTAAAGAACACTGATTTTTTTTTATTTTATTTTTTTTAACTCACTGCTTGAGGTGTTTTAAAGCAGAAACACTGCACTAAATACAAGAGGCTGACTGACTCTGGCTGGAACCGAGAATTAAATTGATATAGTAGAATATTTTTTATCATAAGTAAAGGTAATCTACATGTGCAGGAAAACATGATGTATCTGTCAAGCAGAGATGGTAAAAGTACTCACTTTCCGTACTTGAGTAAAAGTACAGATACTTGTGTTAAAAAATACTCTGGTAAAAGTGGAAGTACTGATTAAACTTCTTTACTCAA